GCCTTCTCTATGTTTAAATATGTTAAGATACACAAATATTTGCTAATGTGTTACAAGTACCTACAGTATTCAATACAGTAACAGTGTACAGGTTTGTGGCTTAGGAGCAATAAGCTCTAGCATACAGCCTAGATGTGTAATAGGCTATACCATCTAGGTTTGTGTAAGTACGTTTTAGTATGTTCACACAATGACAAAACCATAATGTGCATCCCCATCGTTAAGCAATGCATGACTGTATGTAATGTAATACCAAGAACAACCACTAAAACAATAATACAAACAGGTACACTCAAAAACACACAGATAAATCAAAATGAGATTCTAAAAACACAATAAAGCCAGAATCTAATTGATATTTATAGAACTGTCTATACAACAGCACAATATACTTCCTTTCAAGTACCCAGATTGAACATATTCTGGGCCATAAAACAAACATCAGCATGTCACAGGGCAAACCCCAAAACTGGAGTTCAGCCCAGGAGGCCACGTGGGTTTTTGGCTTTGTGCAGAAGGAATTCAAGAGTGAGCCGACAGAGTGAAGTGAAAGCAAGTTTATTAAGAAAGTACAGGAATACAAGAGTGGCTACTCCATAGACAGAGCGGCCCTGAGGGCTGGTGGTTAGTTATTTTTATGGGTTTTTTTTTATTACATGCTATACAAGGGGTGGATTATTCTTGAGTTTTCTGAGAAAGGGATAGGGAATTCCCAGAACGTTTCAGACAATATAATGTAACTTTCAAACATTGCCATGGCATTTATAAATTGTCATGGTGCTAATGGCAGTAACCTTTACTATGCTAATGTATTATGATTAGCATACAAGGAGCAGTGAGGACAACCAGTGGTCACTTGCATGACCATCTTGGTTTTGGTCAGCTTCTTTACTGCATCCTGTTTTGTCAGTGGGGATCTTTTAAGACCTGTATCTTATGGAACCAGAGCTATCGACCTCCTGTCTCAAACACACTTAAAATAATGGAAACCATACAGAATGTGTTCACTGATCACAATGGAATCAAACTAGAAATCAATAACAGAAAGATAAAATAGGGAAATCTCCAGACAGAAACTAAAAGTACACACTTGTAAAACAATCCAATATTCAAAGTAGTAGTCACAAGGAAAGTTAAAAAAAAAAAAAAAACTTATTAAATGAAAGTGAAAATACATGTGAAACTTAGTAGGGCACACCTAAAGTACTGCTGAAATGGGAAAATATATTTTATTTTATTATTACTATTTTTGAGACAGAATCTCACTCAGCAGTCCAGGCTGGAGTGCAGTGGCCCGATCTTGGCTCACCGCAAACTCCCCCTCCCAGGTTCAAGCAATCCTGCCTCAGCCTCCCAAGTAGCTGGGACTACACACATGCATCACCATGCTGGGCTAATTTTTGTATTTTTAGTAGAGACAGGATTTCACCATGTTGGCCAGGCAGGTTTCTAACTCCTGGCTCAAGTGATCCGCCCGCCTCGGCCTCCCAAAGTACTGGGACTACACGTGTGAGCCACCGTGCCCAGCCTGAGACACGAAAATTTGGAGCACTAAATGCTTACCTTAGAAAAGGAAAAAAGTTTCAACTCAATAATCTAAGCACTCACCTCAAAAACTAGAGGAGCAAAGTAAACCCAAAGCAAGCAAAAAAAGGAAGATACTAAAAAAGAAGAACAGAAATCAATGAAATTGCAAACAGAAAAACTGATGCAACAAAGAGCTGGCTTTTTGAGAAGATCAATAAATTTAACAATACTTTAGTGAGACTAACACAAAAAAGAGAGAGAACACAAATACCCAATACCGGGAATAAAATAGGGGATAGCAACATAGACTCTGCAGACTCAAAAGGATAATGTAACAACCCTACACACATAAATGTGACAACCCAGACAAAATGAACCAAATTCTTCAAAAGCATAAACGACCATGATTCACCCAATATAACAGAGGTCTATTTGAATACCCTATAACTATGAAGGAAATTGAATCTGTAATGTAAAAACTCGGAAAGAAATCTACAGGATCCGGCAGTTTCACTGACGAATTCTACTAAACATTTAAAAAATTAACACCAATATACACAATCTCCTCCAGAATAGAGACGAGGAAACACTTGCCAACTCTTTTTATGAAGCCAGCATTATCTTGATACCACAAAAAGACACTACAAAAAAGAAAATTAGACAAACTCTTCTGAACAAAGATGCAAAAATCTTCAACAAAGTATTAATAAACTGAATTCAGCAATATTTAAAAACAATAATACATTGCAACCAAGTAGACTTTATTTTGGGAATGCAAGGCTAGTTAAATACTCAAAAAGCAATCAATGTAATCCACCATATAAACACAACATAGTATCAATTGGTGCAGAAGAAACACTTGACAAAATTCAACATTTGTGAAAAAACTCTGAGCAAACTAGAAATAGAATGGGACTTCTTCGACCTGGTAAAAGGCACCTATAGGCCAAGCACAGTGGCTCACGTCTGTAATCCTAGCACTTTGGGAGGCCGCAGCGGCAGACTGTCTGAGCTCGGGAGTTCGAGACCAGCCTGGACAACATGGTGAAACTCCGTCTCAACTAAAAATACAAAAAATTAACTGGGTGTGGGGGCGCTCACCTGTAATCCCAGCTACTCAGGAGACAGAGGCACAAGAATTGCTTGAACCAGGGAGGCAGAGGTTGCTGTGAGCTGAGATCATACCACTGCACTCCAGCCTGGATGACAAGAGTGAGATTCTGTCTCAAAAAATAAAAAGCATCTATAACATAAAACAATTCTAGAAGACTGCTTTCCTCAGATTGGGAACAAGGTAAGGATATCTATTCTCACTACTCCTATTCATCATACATGAAGTTCTAGTCATTGTAATAGGCAACAAAAATAAATAAAACACAGATTAGGAAAAAAATAAATAAAACTTTCTCTATTCACAAGTGATATGATTATCTCTGTAGAAAAACCCATGGAATCTACCAAAAATTTAAAAACCAAACCCTGAACTAATGAGTTTAGCAAAGTTAGAGGACATATGTACAACACACAAAATTCAATTGTATTTCCACATACAATGTACAATTTGAAACCAGTATTTTTTAGAATGAGATTTACAATAGCTCAAAAAACATTAAATACTTAGGTATAAATGTAACAAAACATGTACACAATCTGTATGCTGAAAACTATAAAACACTAAACAAATCAAAGACCTAAATAAATGGAAAGACATATCATGTTCATGGATTGGGAGACTCAACAAAGTAAACTTAGCAATTTTCCCTAAATTGATCTGTGGGTGTAATACAATTTCAATCAAAGCTCCAGCAAATTTTTCTGTATCCACAAGTTGATTCTAAACTTTATACACAAAGGTAAAAGAATCAGAATAGCTAAAACAATTTTGAAAAAGAATGAAACTGGAGGAAATTATACTACCTGGTTTAAAGACATTACAATGCTAAATTAACAAAGTGTGATACTGGCCAAGGGAAAGTTAAGTAAATTAGTGGAACAAAACAGGCCCAAAATAGACCCTCACAAATAAAGCCAATTGATTTTTAACAAAGGTGCAAAAGCCATTCAATGGAGAGAAGACAGGTCTATTCAGCAAATGCTGATGGAACAACTGGACGTCCATAAGCAAAAAAGTAAACCTTCACACCTTATACAATCAACTCAAATGGATCACAGATCTAAATGGAATACTTTTATAAAACAATTTTTAGAAGGAGAAAATCTTGACCTGTTAGGCAGAGTTCTTAGACATGACACCAGAAGATCCATAAAAGGAAAAATTGATACTGGACTTCACCAAAATTAAAAACACTGCTGTCTGAAAGACACTGTTAGAATGAAAAGACAGACTGGAAGAAAATACCTGAAAAACATGTAACTGACATATAATTTGTATCCAGAACATATAAAGAACCCTCAAAATTCAACATAAGAAAACAGACCAATTTAAAAAAGGGCAAGAGACTTGGCCAGATACCTCACCAACGACTCCATGTGGCAAATGAACACATGAAAACATGTACAACATCTTTAGCCATTAGTTAAAGGCACATTAAAACCACAATGAGATACCACTACACACCTATTAAAATGGCTAAGTCTTAAAAAACTGACACTACCAAATGCTGGGAGTATGTGGAGCAACTAGAACTCTCACATGTTGCTTGTGGGAATGCAAATGACACACTCCAGAAAAGAGTTTAACAGTTTTTTTTAAAGTTAAACATACATTTACCATATGACTCTGCAATCCACTTGTAGCAATAACCTAGAGAAATGAAAACATGTCCATACAAAAAACCTTTACATGGTATTTATAGCCGATCAATTCATAATCACAGAAAACTGAAAACCTCAATGTCCTTCAATGGACAGATGTAGAAACAAACTGTAGCATTTCCACATAATAAAACAGTACTCAGCAATAAGAAAAGAAATTATCCATACATGAAACAACTTGGAAAAATCTTAAAAGCATTTTGCTGAATGAAAAAAAGCTAATATCCAAAGATTACCAACTGTTATGATTCCATTTCTAGAAAATATTAATAATTGCCAGGGGTAAGGAGTATGATATAAAGGGATCACATTAGGTTTTTTTTCTGTGAGGGCGGGGAGTGATCGATTTGTTCTACATCCTTATTGTAGTGGTGGTTACATGACTCTAAAATTCGCAGAACTGTACACCGAAAAAAAGATCAATTTTACCATATACTTTTAAAAATAATACATTAATTTCCTTAAAATAAATTTAAAGAAAAAAGCCAAATGAAATGTTAACAGTCGGACTCTTGCTTTTCAGAAACTACTCCATAGACTTAAAGCACTAGATCAAAACAATTACGTTCCTAGAAATAAGCATAATTCTGAGTATAATTAAAGACCTTGACAATAATACTTTATATAAACACCCCAAAACTTAACATTTTGCTAACGCAGTCTAATAAATTAGAAAAGCAAAGGGTGAGTTAACTCACCAATCAAAAGGTTGTTTTCTCACAACGGCCTTTATTGAAGTAGAAGTACAGTTATATTTGTAAAAATACTGAAAAACTTCCTAGGGTCAATGAAATTACCTAGATGTTAGGAGACATATAAAAACCTAGAGAAGTTAACAGCCCTTTTCAGACCCCACTGCCACTTCACTAGCTCCTGATAAGGAAGTTCTTACTCTCACACGCTCTCACGTTCTTACTCCAGGGAACTGCCGATGACTCCTCGGATCTCCGAGTAAAGTTAAGTCTGTAGCAACCAGTGTCAATGGAACAGCACAATTTGGCTCATTTATATTCCAGCACTCTATGAGCAAGAAACTAGGGAAGGGTGGGGTCGCGGGTAAAGAGGGGTCGCACTGCAGGGAGGAGTCTACATGCCTTGATGGAGCTGAGGACCCTCTTCGCCTTCAAACCAAACCTGAGCACTTCACGCCCTCACCGGTGTCTGGCCCAGCCTGGGTCGCCCCTTCCCCATTCAGGACTTGGGGCAGGCAAAAAGCCGAACTCTCGGCCAGACTGGGGCCGCAGCGCCGCCCCCGCTCCATCCCTCTTTCCCGCCCACCTGGCAATTCCAGGTACCGACCGCTGGGAGCTGGGAGGGGGCGCCGGGCTGGCGCTGCCGCCCACCTTCTCTAGCTGGAACTTGGGATCGGTGCTCAAGGGCGGGAGAGCCGGCGCTCGGCTGTTCGAACCCGGGGATGGGGGAGCCGGGCCTGGAGGCCCCTGCCCACTCCCGAGAGTAAGGCACAACCCGGGACCCCGGGGAGAAGCTGACTCTTCCCCAGTGGAGCCGGACGAACCCCCAGCCGCTGGAGAGGGCGAGTGAGTGCAGCGCCGCTGCACCGCAGCGCGAGCCGCTACTCACCGTCCCCCGCCCGCCGCGGACCCGCCGCCTGGCGCCACCAGCTCCTCCTGGTCGCGGCGCAACCGCTGCCGCCGCTGCCTCCTCCCGACGCGCCAGTTCTCCCTGCGGGGCCGCGCGGCTAGTTCGCACCCTCTTTCGCTCTCTTAAGAATGATTATGATTTTTAAACGAACTTTATTGGTAGCCAGGGCTCAGGGGCTCAGCAGCAGCTCCGATGGGGATGGTGGGGCGCGGGAGTCTCGATTCCCCTCATCTGTGGACCCGCCGCGCTGCGGAGCATGCGCCGTGCTTCGTTTGCGCGTGCTCTGTGCAGACCCGCGGCCCTGCCCCGCCCATGTTCTGGCGGGTGGCGGGCGACAGCTCAGCTTTCCAGGCGCCTCCAAGGGATCCCGGGAGGGCAGTGGGGAGACCAGAGGCGAGCAGGATCTATCCTAGATCGTGAACTCTAGAAAAGAGAAATAGGCCAATGACGGTCTGCATAAGTTTCACAGAGTTATCACACTTCCGGAGTCCTCAAAGGGCTTGCCCTGCATCGTACACATACCTTATTTTCTTGACCAGATGACATCTTAAGTGGCCGAGTGAGCAAAAAATGTCGAACAAAGTCGAAAACGCACACACACAGCCTGCAGGATTTGGCTGGGCAAAATAGAAGCCTGAGATGGTTAATTATTCAGAGAAGCAAACCAAAAACGAAAAGGTCCCGCAAAAGCAATCTCAACTTTGTTTGCTTCAGTTGTTTTTATATTTCAAAATAAAATAGAATAGAAAAAAAAGATGGAAAATACCAAGTGTTGGCCAGGATGTAAAGTCACTGCATTGTTCTACTCTGCTGCTGGAATGTAAACTGGAACAATTCCTTTGAACAACAGTTTGGGACTGTCTGCAAAAGGCGCATACCCTATGGCCCCGCAGTCCCACGCCTCCATATACAGCAAAGAGAAACGAATACTTAGGGTGCACCGACAGGCAGGTATCAGAATGTTCGTAGCTGCATTTATTGTAATAATTCCTTAATGAGAATAACCCAAAAGACCATCAACAATAGAATAAATGAATGAAATTACACAGGGTTCGCATAATAAAACACTATACAGCAACGCAAAGAACCATCTGCAATAATTACGGGCAACAACGTGGATCAACTGCGGAAACCTAATGCCCAGCATAAAAAGACAACAAAAGTACACATGGCGTAAGTTCATTTCTATAAAGTACAAAAACAGAAGAACTAAGCTGCTCAAAGTTAGCATAATGGTTACCTTGGTGGGCAGGGGATAGTGACTGGAAGGAGTCAGCAACTAGAAGAGGGGCTTCCAGTTAGCAACTGAAAGAGGGGCTTCCTTCTAGTAAGGTTCTCTCTGTTGATTTTGGCGCTAGTTATAAAAGCGTGTCCATTTGTGAAAATTCATGCTGTACTCTTATGCACATTTTTCTGTATGTGAATTATACTTCACACTTAATAATTTTAAAAATTAAGTGGAGATTGTTTTACTTATAATAGCAATAGTATTTGTAAGAAATTTAATATCAAGTAGCTAACAGATTTATCTCTAGGATTTGGTTGGCAGTCTCTTAAATTTGAGTAACATGCTGATGCCCTTTCTGAGAAAAAAAAAAAAACGATTAAAAAGTTGGCAAATGACTTGAATAGACATTTCTCCAAAGAAGATATACAAATAGCCAATGAGCCCATGAAAAGAGACTCAAGGTCACTAATCATGAGGGAAATGCAACTCAAAACCATGAGATACAACTTCACACTCATTAGAATGATGATTATAAACAAAGCAGAACAGGAAATAAATAAGAGTGTTGGCAAGGATGTGGAAAAATTACCACCTTTGTGTGCTGCTGGTGGGAATGTAAAATGGTACAGCCACTATGGAAAATTGTATGGTTCATCAGAATATTAAAAATAGAATTATCATATGATTAAATAATTCCACTTCTGAGTATATGTCCAAAAGAATTGAAAACAGGGACTCAAAAAAGACATTTGTTCAACCGTGTTTATAGCAGGGTTATTCACAATAGCCAAAGGGTGGAAGCAACCCAAGTGTCCATCAGTGGATGAATGGCTGAACAAAATGTGGCATCTGCATGCAGTAAAATATTATTCAGCCTTAAAAAAGGAGGGACCCAGGCGTGGCGATGTATCCCTGTAATCCCAGCTACTTAGGAGGCTGAGATGGGAGGATCACTTGAATCCAGGAGTTCAAGACCAGCCTGGGCAAATCCTGTCTCAAAAATAAGAGAGGGAAATTCTGACACTTGTTACAGCGTGGATGAAGCGTGAAGACATTATGCCTAGTCACAAAAGGACAAATGCTGTATGATTCAGCTTATCTAAGGTACATAGAGTAGTCAAATTCGTAGAGACAGTTGGGGGGTGGGAAGTGGTTGTGGGGAAGGAAGGGCAGGTGGTGAATGGGGAGTGGGTGTTTTATGTCTACAGTTTTAGCTTTGCAAGATGAAAAAAGTTTGGAGATAGATGGTGGTGATGCTTGCACAATGATGTGAATATACCTGATTCTCTTGAACTGTATACTTAAAAATGGCTAAAAATGATCCATTGTATGTTTTATGTATATCTTGCCAAGTTTCTTTTTAATGGGAGAAAAAAAAAAAAAGAAAATCCTAGAGGGTCTCAGAGAGTACGTCTGAGATCCGAATTTGAGAAAAACTTCCTGAAAAAGAGTTCTCCCAAAATCATTTCTTTCCTCCCCACTTTTCCACTTCCTTGGGACTGTTGGACATTGAAGGAGATCCAGAATATGCCACCCCAAAATATGCCACTTTATCGTAAGGATTATTTTGAGCTGAAGGCAATTAAGAAACAGCAGAACAGAAGAAACACTCTGCTTTTCCCATTTCTGCCTAAAAGCAGGCTATACATTTCCCTTTGTGAAGTTGTTCCTCCTCCCCATCCCATACTAGGAGGAGGAGATTCCTATCACCAAAGCACCAACTTGAGTCATATGACAAACCTTGCAAAATAACCTTTGTCTTCCAATAGTTCCCCTCATATAGTTTAATCGGCCACAATTTACCACCTTCACAAATCCCACCCCTTCTTCCTTTGTCTTATCACTTCTCCACAACTTATCACCCTTTTAAAAAATGGTATATAAGTTCTTAGGCCTGTTTTTGGGGTTTTCACTTCTTTTCTGTGAGGCCCCCCATGTGCATATGAAATAAACCTTTTCTCCTGTTTATCTGTCATTTGTCAATTTAATTTGCAGGCTTCTGTTACTGAACTTACGAGAGTAGAGAAAAAGTGTTTATCCTCCCTGCAGACATGCTCAGTGCAATTAAAGTCTACTTTTTATTTGACTTGAGGCTGCTCCCAAGGACACAGCAGAGATTCTCATGCTTTCACTGAAGGCAGTGAAATAATGAAAGCCTGCATGGAAACCTGGCCTTTTAAATCATGTAGTTATGCTATAGTAGAAATAGCAACAGAATTAACCTAAAAGGATTTGAAAGAAATTTTACCTGCAGTGACTAGAAATGAGTTTCACAAAATTATTTTAAGGAAAACATTCTGAAAAGTTAGTTATTAAGTCATTAAATGATTGTTTGAATCTAGTACCTTCACTGACCCAGCCAAAAATGTCCATTTGGTCCCTTGCTTGTTCTTTCATTGTGTCTGACTCTGATGAGCTGAATAGTGTCCAAGGATCATGAATTGTAGCTGAGTTGAAAGAAAAACAGAAAAATTAAAAATATTTTCTTCCAAGAAAGAAAGCTTTGAAAATTTTTACCACTTAGAATGTAAGTCTGCATATAAATGTGAATGCATATGTGGCCATCTGGGAAAACCTAGCAGAAATCACAGTATTGGTCTAGACAGTAATAATCTACTGTTCTTCAGAATCATACAGACCATCCTGGAAAAAAATTTTTTTTCTAGTACTTTCTAGCCAGACATTAGAATACTGATCCAGTTCCTCTGTTGCTTAAGCTTGGATCTTAGTATCCTCATCTATACTAAGGAGTTACCCACCTTACAAGGTCATTTATCCATTCAAAAAAATATGTATTGTGCCGAGTACTGTGCTGAACATTGGGTATTCAGTAATAGACAAAAGGCAGATGGTTTGTGTCCTCTGGGAGCTTATAACGTGTTAAGGGAGACCAAAAAAGAAAGTATACAAATAGACGCATATGCACACATATACATAAATAAATGATTACATACCCTTAGACATTATGTGAAAGTAAATAACTGGTATGATGGAAGCATGTAAGAGGGAGCCCTAATTTATGCTGGAGAACCAATGGAAGGCCTTTCTGATATAGTGATTTTTAAGCTGTAATCTGAAAGATAAATGAGTTAGGTAAAAAATAGACAGGAAAAGACTGTAAGCAGAGACAACAGGAAGTACGATGGCCTGAGGCAGCAAACAACTCACTGGGTTGAAATAATTGAAAGGGAGCCAGTGTGCAGGAGTGAGGTGGAAAGCAGCGGGTAAAAAATAAAGAACAGTAGTGAGGGAGGCAGGGGGCAGATCATGAAGACCTTGCAGGTCACGTTAGGTCATTTGGATTTTATCTCAAGTGTATTGGGAAGCCACTGGAGGATTTTTTAGTGCACAGACTAGGAGATTCTCTGGACAGTTTTAAAAAATTGCTCTGACTGCTATCTAGGGAAAACACAGAGTAGTGGAAAATGGGAGAGCAATGGAAGGGCGGTTCAGGCAAGAGATGATGAAGGGTTAGACTGAGGTGGTTACAGGGGTGATACAGAAAAGTGCATTTGTTTTTAATCTTGAAAGTAGAACCTATAGGATTTGGCTATGGGGTAGGAAAAAAACGGAATGTCAAGAGTGACTCAGGTTTCTTGAATGACTACCTTGCTGAGATTGGTCACTAAGGAACTAGTTACTACCCCTCACAGTGTGAGTCGGGGAATAATCTGTTCATTCTAAATTCCTTTTTGTTTTGTCCTTGATTGTTCTTGTATCATGGTCTAGTCTGTTGTAGCATATACACTTCTAGATTTAGGGCCCTTACTAACAAAGAGTAATTAGAAAATAATTTTTTTTTTTTAATTTATTGCCCAAGTCTTGCTCTCATATATATTTACATTTGTTGAAATATTCTCAGTATACTGAGAGACCTACTCTGTAATGGAAAGGGCTGGACTAGACAACTCTCTGACTTTTGGGAACTTCACTTACGGTAAATAAGGAAACGTCTGTGTGATATTCTTCCTCACACTTCTGTTGGAACATTTGTTCACTTCACTTCAGTGAATTGATGCATTTTTAAGAGCTTATTCACAACCAGTGTTTTGTCATGATTCCATGATTTAA